CTACTGTAGTAGTAAAATCTCAGCTTCATAAATTAAAAATCCTGTACTCGTTACATTGTTACAAATGAAACAAAGCTCCCTTAGATGTTAGAATAAATTAAAGTTGTACTTTAATAAACTGGAATAAAGCTTCCAATTAAGCATCAGGAGCCATGTGCCTCCTGGACACATAGGTTAAGAGTCAGATTTAAAAATAAAGGGTGTGCCTCTCAAATACTGAATGTTAGTTCTACCCAGTTTAATCAATCGATGCTCACGCCGGAGTAATGGTGTTTAAGAAGCTGATGAACCACAGGAGTGCCTTATCTTCAGCAGAGTGTAGCTGAGCTCTCTTGGGACAACTGCTTTGGGTCCATTGAGTGTAACCCTGGGGAGGAGGCGCTGAGCAGCTGCAGGCAGTGGCTGCAGGGCAGGGTGGCTGCCACAGCCCATTCCAGCCGCCTCTTCCTCCTGCCTGGAAGTACTGCTCCTTTCTGTAGCTCTTTGCTGAGAGTTCTCCCTGGGCTTTCTGACATGTATGTTTTTGTATTTCTTCCCTTGGAATTTCAGGTCTCCAAGTGAGGAGGTTTGGTTTGGTTTGTTTTTTTTTTTAATGCTAGATGTCAAATGTTCTTACATAGATTAAAGCTAAGTGGGTTTTTTTTAAGCTTAGATTAAATGCTGTTTTCTATCATTCAGAGTACAAATGCAGCCATACTTTCAGACTTTTCTTAAATAAAGCAACCTTTCTATTGATTCTGTGGAGAACTATCAGACATAATTTTCTTTGGAAGTTAGTGCCAACAGTATTGGAATTTTACCTGACTACTTTTTCACTGCCTCTCTGTGTTTGCATTCTTAGACCAACTTAATCTGTCATGTACTTTTTTCTTTCTCAAGTTGTACCATTTTCCAGACATGAAGCAGAGATGTTTGGCTTTCTCCTCTTTTGCTGAGGGCCCTGAACTTGATTTAACAAGAGAGTGAGCATCAGCAAAGTCCCGTGCCTGTAGGCAGCACTAGTCTAATTTATTGTCAATAATGTGTTGTACGGGCTCTGCTGTAATTACATCTTTCCTAACCTATTTGTAGCACGTCCCTTGAAACAGCTGTGTTTGGAAGATTTGGCAGAGCTTCACGCAGTGTTGCAGGCAACACAATGAGTAACTCACTTGCTTGTAACTTCCTGGGAAGCTTAGTGTTCCTTCCCCTGAATGCTTAATGCAGAGTTTTCTTCCTGGCTGGATAAATAAGACTCCTGCTGAAATGTTATTTTAGACTATGGGATGTAGTCAAAAGGATGCTTTTGTCCTGGACCCACAGGCCTTTTGGGAAAGGTAAAGACTTACCAAATGTGAAGTCCTGGATAGATGTCTGCTTCATGACTAATCCATCGCTTTCCTATTCGGGCTGAGATGTTTTGTGCTGCATCAGAGGTATGGGAGAGTCAGAATAACTTTGTTCGAGGAATTTCACATTTTGGTCCAAAAGGAAATGGGCTTCCCAGTATATTACGTAGATTGGCCAAAGCAGCACGTCTCAGTGCTCTGTCTTCGCACTAAGAGCAGGATGCTTACTTTCACCATCTCCTCCAGGGTTATTGGTCTCATTGCTGCGAAGCTGCTTTGCTCCTGGCCTGGTTGTGTGCGGGAAGGCATGAAGGGGATGCCAAGGTGTGGGAGCAGGCATAGATGAAAGAGCTTTCCTCAGCACTGCATGTGCTAAACAAGAGACTGAGTAAGGTTTGGCAGAACACGGGATGATGAGTGCTCATGTCCTCACAAGAGGTTACAGCTGTGCTTGTACAACTGCTACTGGCAGTACTTTGAGAGCCAGAGTGCTCCTCCCTGCTGCCCAGCAGCTGCAGCCTGCCTCCAGCAGTACCTCGGGTGCTTTGGAAAGAAAATACAAGCCAGTTCTCCTGATAATCTCACATGGCTGCTCTGTACTGGGAAAGCATTCCTTGTCTGCTCAGAGACCTCCTTGCTGTCCTAGTGGTGGCTTTGCTCATCAGTGGCAGATGCTGCCATCGCCTAGTGAGAACATCAGCCTTTGTGTCTATGTTGCGACCAAAAAACCAGAGCAGGGAATGCTTTTGTGCTGCCTTTTCCTGGAGGACATCTGCATGGGCCATGTGCTTGAGCACTGCCTGCCTCCAGCAGGGCTCCTGAGGGCTGTGGGTAGGGGCTGCAGAGAGGCTGGTTGCTGAGGTTCTCAGCAGGACTCGACATCTCATCAGCTCAGTGAGGTGTGCCATTTCAATGCAAGACTGCAACAAAACACTTTGTTTACTGAAGGGTGGCTCATCTCTGTGATCTCTGTGGTGTTTGTAACTCCTGCCTGTGCAGCTGAGTGCTTTCTTTGCTGTGGAGCAAAGCAGATTAGGCAGAGAACAGCATGCAGGGAAAGAACTGCACGCGCTGTTCTGTTGCTGCAGCACTGTCACCCCACGTACAAGGAAGCCTAATCCAAAGGAAATGCTGTTAGAGATGAAAAATGTTCAGTGAGGCTGGTTATCATGGTAAAGGTGTTGTTGATACAAAGTTCTAGGCTTTGGGTTCACTTCTTTTTATATGTAGGCTGTGGTAAAATTGATTGATTTTTGTCATTGTCAAAGGAGTAACAGGAGTAACATCTCCTGAACAGTCTGCAGTCTCTGAACAGTTTCTACGTTATCTTTAGGGCTAAATACAGAATGAAAAGGGGAAATCTGATTTTTAGAGAGTGCTTGCAAGATGTAACTGAAACACAATCTGATTCACTTTCTTTTTTATTGCACACAATTGGTCTTCATTAATTTCTTTACAGTTTTTCTCCACTTTTTCCCTAGAAGGCATTCCAGCATCCCTTGCCACTGTCACTTGTCTGCTTCTTTCTTCCCATTGTGTCTGCTTTTACCTCACTTCCTATTGAGCTCCTGAACTTCTGCCTGGGCTTTTCTCCTTTTTTCAGCCCTTTGGTGCCTTCAGGTTAATGCTGCAGGAGTCAGTGTGATCACTTGAGGCTTACTTTTCTGTCTCTATGGTCAGAAACCACCTGGCCTAATGCAGATGTACTGTGTAATGAAGTACAGAAAATTCGATACTCATTACAGCCAGTTCTGCAGCTTGGCCCTAATATCTTAGCGGTTCAAATGAAATAGAAAAAGATCTTGTTTTGACCACTTGTTTCAAAAATACTGTTACAAATTTGATGCAACTTGTTTGTTACACAGGTGTGAACGGCTGGTGCACGTAGATGGTAATTATCTTGTGTGAAATTTTAAAACCTTGTTGGGTAAGTCAGAACAGTAGCTAATCCTCATGCAGAATAATTCCTAGTTTCTCTAGATGATGATGTCAAAGACAGAATCGGAAAAGAAATCAGCGCGCTGAGATGGTGCTCGACCAGGTGGTGGCAAACAGTACATGGCTCCTGATGGGTTCTTTATGTGTTCTGAGTGGGATTCACTTAAAAGGAAGTGGAAGTGTGAAGGAGGGAAGGAGAACAACAAAGGCAGGACTGAGGAAGAGTTGTAAAGGAAAGGGATAAGAGTGGAGGAGAGCAGTGATGTTAAGTGACATTGAAAGGCCTGAATAAGGGAAGTTGAAGTGAACACCAACCAGCACACGGCAAGGAAAGTCCTGCCAGTGTGCTGCTGCATCACGCCGGCATGGCTTTGTGCCCAAGCTCTCCTAAATCCCTGTGTGGTGCTTGCCTGATTTTATCCACTGATGATGCAATCAGGTGAATGACATCACAGAAATACACCTACCTGTGGTGTTACAGTCTAGATTGTGACCGGCAGATTAGTCAGTGGTGTCACAATCCATGTTTGTATCATTGTCTCCTGAATGTGGAAGTGATTGCTGCATCGACAGCTGAAGTTTTCATCAGTGAATCAGGCAGTTAGGAAGAGCAGTCCTTTCACAGAGGCAACAGCTTTGACTTATCTGGAATAGAACCTCGGTGTATTTTAGCAAAGCACAAGTGCCAAGTGTGGTATGCTACTGAGATTTCAGCAGTTCGGGTGTGATGTAAAGAGGTGACTGAGCTTCAACACATGCAGAACCTGGCTCGCTGGGAGCTGCGTGCTGTATTTGGTTGTTCATGAAAAGTGCGCACGCGTGCCAGATGATGCTGTGTACACATCCCAGAGCTCCAAGAACAGAAGTGGAGAGTGTAAGGAACAAATGGCACCAGAGGAAGGTGGCAGTGCTTTCCAACAGTTCTGCCACAGAGAGCTACCAAGCTGAGTTCAGTTCAGTTCAGAGCACGACCCTCCACCGATCTGCCTTTTGCCTGCCGATGGCGACGTGTGCAGATCCAAGCAAAGCGTTCTGCTTCTTGGACGCCAGCTGTAATCTGGTCCAACGATGTTACCCAAGGTCCACGATTAGCCCCTGGGTGAAAGTTTGTTCCCTCTTTTCTGCGTGTGCCTGGGCTGGCCTGAAAGCCCTGCTGTTGCTTTGTGTGCCCTGTACCGAGCGGGAAGAGCTGCTGACCCAGGAGAGCTCCGTTACTGTGCCCGCTTTTGTCTGCAGCATCCGGGCATGTGACAGACGGCACTGCTGCTCCTCGGGGTTCGATTCAACTCATTACCTGAACGGCAGCCTCCCACCCGTATTTCCCAGGGAGAGACCCACATTCTTCCGATTGCTGCGCGTGGCGTCGCCCCTCCACGCTCCGTGCCCCATAGCAGGTGCAGCGAAGAGCGGGCGGCCGCTTTTTTGCCTCGGCGCAGCAGCTGACCCAGCCGGATCCGGAGCTCCCGCCCGCGCGGGGCGAAGCGTTCGTTACCCGTGGCCCCCGTCCCTCTCCGCTCCGACAGCCGCTTCAGCGCCGCGACCCCGCGCGGCCGCGGGCCCCGCCCTCTCCTGCCCGACCGCCCAATGGGGCGCGGCGGCCCCGCCCCTTCGCCGCCGGCAGCCAATGGGAGGCGTCCCTCGGCGGCCGTCCACCTGCGGCTGCGGGAGCCACCTGAGCGGGCGAGAAAAGCCGCCAGAACCCGTCGGTGCGGCGGGCTGCGCGCTGCTCTCTCCGTTCGCCCCCGCGTCCTCCCGACCCGCCGGGCCAGTTCCGACGCCCGCTGCCTCCGCCAGACATGACACAAGACTACGACAAGTGAGCTGCGCGGGGCGGGGAGGGCTGGTGCCGCGTCCGGTCCGACCGGCGCCGCCTACGGGGGTCGGGGGGTGGCGGAGCTGGGGAAGCGCCGCTGCGCGGGGGGTTCTGGGGGCCGCCCCTCCGTCGCCTCGGGGGGGCGGCGCGACGCGGCGGGAGGGGGACGGTGGCGCGACCCCTGCGGCCATCCCGCCCTTCTCCCTCCGCCCTTATCATCGGCGGCGAGCGGCGGGGCAGGGCCGCTTTGAAACCCGACACCGCCGCCGGGCGTGGGGCAGCGCCGCCGCCGTCCGCCTCCCGCCCCCTACCGCGCCTTAAAGGCGGGCGGCGGCCCCGGGCCGGCACTGCTCGGTGCGGTGCGGCGGGGCGGGAGCCGCCGCCTGAGCCCCTGACGGCCCGCCCCGCCTGGGCTCCGCGCGCGGCGGAGGGCGCTGGAGCTGCCCCATGGATTTCTACGAGGCGCACCCCTCCGGCAAGGTGGATTTCGGCAGGTAACGGCCGCGCCTCGGGGGGCCGGGGCTGCTGTCGCGTCGGGCAGAGAGCGGCGTTCCTGCTGTTGGCCGCATCCGTGTGTGCTCGGAGCTTATCGGCGATAGCTCGACCGGCAGGGAGCCGCGCGTCCGTCGCTGTGACCGGCGCTAACGCGGTGACCCCGAAGTCACCGGCGTCTGGAACGGGGCGCTGGTTTCTGTGTCGGGCTGCATCGGGCCCTGGGCGAGCCGGTCTGGCCGCGGTGGCCCGGTTGGACGAGATGGCCCTTAGCGGTCCGTTCCGACTCCAAGGATTCTGTGACTCCTTGAGAAGGCGTTGGGCTCTCGGCGGAGCTCGGCGCCTCTCTGTGGAACGCCAGCTCTACAGCCCTCCGCCTGGGCGCCGTGGCACCTCTTCTATTTGCGGTGCCGCTCCGCAGGTGAGGACGGAACGACGTCCGGGCAGCCCTGAGCGACTTACCGTGCCCTGCCGGGGACACCTGCGACTCGGGAGCAGCTGCGCGTGCTGCCGTGTCCAAACCAGCACCGTGAGAAGGACGAGCTGCTTTACTCTCGTTAATACGTTCGCGTTTACCTAAAAGAGCTGTGGTTCTGTTGTGGCACTGCCAAGCTCTGTTCTTTCCCCCTCTTTGAAGGGGTCGGTTGCCTTCAGGGCAACGAGTGTGTGGTAATTGGCACGGAAACGCGTCGTTCTGGGATCTGGAGCTCGTGGCTGTGGCAGCGCTGAGCCTTGCGTTCCCTCTGATTCCCAGTGATGCCGTGGCCCTCAGACGTGGCCCTGTGTGCGCGCTGCTGCTGTCAGCTTTTCTTTGCAAGCGGCTTTGCTTGAGGACTTCCCTATTCGCTACAGGTGTTTGAGTTTTTTTTCATTGTGAAGTATGAGAACAGGAACTTGTGCCGTGTTCCTAAAGAAAACTCACCTTGTCTTCTGTTGTCCAGTCTGTGGTAGAAAGTGGATGTCCCAGATACTGGCAGAATCTGCGTTTCAGTGGGAGGGTGTCAGGGTAAAGCCGCGCAAACACCTCGAGAAGTGTTGGGAGAGCTTGGCTTCTCTGTTTGTTTTTTCCCCTGCTCTGATGCTGCTTTATAGGTACAAAGTGCTCATATAAACCCTGGCAACTTCACCTCGCTCCAGCTGCTGAAGCCCAGCCCGGTGTCCCATTGAGGCTGGTGAGACCACTTGTGTAACCAATGGGACGCATCATTTACAAAGTGCTTGGCAATCTTTTTGGTGGAAGGTGGTGATAAATGCAGGATCCTGTTAAGCTGATTATAGTGATTAGAGTATTTCACAACTTTGTGTTTCACAACTTTTTGTATTTGTATTATATTTTGGTCTCTGAATGCATCCGAGTAAAGAGCAGATAAAATGAATCCTGTTCTGGGGAAGGGGCACAGTGGTGGTGAGGGTGGGGTGGCTTTGGTGGTGGTGGCTTTTTCTTTTTTTTAAACAATAACTATTACCAATCCATTAAACATTCAAGTTTTTAATTATTTAAGAAGACAAAAAAATGTTCCCCGTTCGACCCAATCTAGGAAATGGACGTTGTGCTTGCACTGGGAAGAAAACTGAGCTTGGTTAAAAGCCAGCTCTGACCTTTTTCTTGGGCTGACCTTAAAGCTGGAGCACTTGTCCCACCAACAAAGCCAGAGCATGTGCTGTGGCCTGAGCTGGTGGGGCAGCATGCTCTGCATAGGTCCCACTTTCACTTCTTGGCAGCAATCACAAAACAGAGTAGGTCCAGGTTCTCAATATGCTGCATCAGCAGGTCTGTAGTGTTTTGGGGTTGTTTGTTTGTTTGTTTTTTTCCCAGTTGATGCTGTTTAAAACTAGGGTCACAGATGCTTCAGTGATAAGCAGGCAGTAGATCTTCACTTGCCAGAAGCAGTGAGTGCTGCACTGACTTGGTTTCCCCATGCAGTCTGTAACTCACTGGCAGCTGCTGGCTGCTGCCTTCACAAAGCTGTGGGAGAAAGATGTTAGGTTAATTTGCACTTCCTAGTCCCACATGGAAGCTAGAGCAGGTCATGGCTCGCTAGCGTTATGTAGGTGTGCTGGAGGTTTGGTAGGTGGCAGGTCAGTGAGCACGTATGGCTTCTGGGTTGGATTCGGAGTGTTGGCGGGTCCGTGGTGCTCTGAGGCAGTGCTGTGATTGTGTGCAGGCTGGTGTAACCCAGCTGAGTTTGGTCCAAGTAATCCCAATGTATGCAGAGCGTGAGTGAGATCAGAATTAGGTTTCTGGGCTTTTTGTGTTGACTAATCCTTGCCGTGCACTGAATCAGAACCTGAACCCTGTGAAACTGGGGCAGGTAACACTGAAGAACTTGAAGAATGTTTTTCATGTGTTCTAACAGGTGTGGGTTTTTTCTTTTTCTTTTTCATGATTCAAGTAAAAGACCCGTGTTGGTTCTTCAGAATGACTCTCTCTACTCCCAGAGACGTCCTTACACCAGTGAAGATGAGGCCTGGAAATCCTTTCTTGAAAACCCCCTTACAGCAGCCACCAAAGCTATGATGAGCATCAATGGCGATGAGGACAGCGCAGCCGCCCTCGGACTGCTGTATGATTACTACAAGGTGGGTTGGCAGGGGTGGGCTCTGACACTGCCTGTGCAAAGGGTTTTTGTAGAAGCCATGAATGGGGAATTGAATCTGTATGTTTTACAAATTTAATTAAAAAAAAAAAAAAAAAAAAATTAAGTCTTTCCTGAAAATTGATTTCTCTTTAACAAAGTAAATTAAGTTTGTCTAGATCTTGCAGTGGGGAGGTCAAAAGCCTCAGTAATAGGGCTTTGCCTTTAGGTTTACTCTGGGTTCTGGAGGAGACAATGTATCGTTCGTAACAGTGGAGAATGAGACTTCGGAGCTGTCTGTCTTGAGTACAAATACGCATTTCTTTTTGCTTTGTGATGCCTGTTCTGGTGGGACTGACAGCTGGCTTTTGCTGGGGCTGTTATGTTCTGCTGTGGCATCAATTGAAGCTACAGATAACAGATTTTTGTTGTGTGTGGGGTTGTCATTCCAAAGAGCTTATTGCCTGTGTCCCTCTAACTTTTGGTGAGCTTCTGCCGCTATAATCTGTTAGTCCTCGGACAACCATGGTCATCTTCTCTAACATGCAGGGTCTTCTCAGAGACATTTACCCTACTATATTCTCACGGATAACCTGATTGGCCTGGAATATGCTTCATTTCTTCCCTACATATTAGACATGTAAGATGGGGTGGTTTTATTCACCCCAGAGTTCAAGTGAGTGAAGAGCAGCAGGCAGTTGCATGCAGAGGGTGACCTGCTTGTGCACAGCGGCCTGGCTCAGCGTGTGGAGATGCCTGTCTGCTCTTTGCTGAGCGGGCAGGGAAGCCAGAAGGCTGCCTTGGTTCTGCTGCCTGACATTGTGGTTAGTGTCTTTGAAGAGTCGTGAGCGTGCCTGCCAGCCTTGGTATATTCCTCAAATCATGGGAGAGGTTGCTTTCTTTGTATGGTCTAGTATTAAATGTGGACGTTGGTGGCCCTGCATGTGGCAGGGGGATTGGAGATTCATGATCCTTGAGGTCCCTTCCAATCCTGGCCATTCTGTGATTCTGTATTGTGTTCTTGCTTAGAAAAGAGAATTGCATATGCCTTAAATATCAAAATATTCTTGTAACGCTTAATATGGAGATTAGTGCTCTCCGCGCACAACAAAATGCCACAAACTCATTGGTGTGAATGTTATCCAGCCAGTTTTGTGAGAAAGTTTTTGTGCTTCTGCTTTGTGCTTGTGCTTTTTATGCTCTCGAGGAGGGGGGGAAAAACTCACAATAATCCCCCCCTCCAATCCCCCCACAAATACCAGAACAACTTTAATCCACAAAGTCTACTTTGATATCAAAATCTGTATGTTACAAAGAGAGTGTCAGCGTTGCTTCACGCTTAGCAAAGCAGTAGGGATTTGCTCCACATTCGTGTCTAGTTGTCTAGTTTTGGGTTTCTTCATGTTTGGATACAGTAGGTGTGTAGAAAAATCAGTAGAAAAACAGGTATTTGGCAGACTTGTGTGAGGCAGAATGGCTGGAGGTTGAAAGATTTATTGTTATGAAGTAATGCTGGAGGGACAGCGTCTAGGCATTCCGAATACGCCTCCTCTTCTTTGCAATATTAAAAGCAGCTGATGAGATCACCTTTGAATGTCTTATATTTAAAATAAAAACTAACAAACCACTGGAAAACAAACATTCACAAAAAAGATCTAAATGCACAAAAATAGCAAACAACTGGGCTTAAATTGACTTCCATTTGACTAATGGGCTGCTGTGATAGTTCTGTTGGTGCCTCACAGGAAATAAATGCTTGGTCAAAATCTGGATTCTGCAGGTCTAGACTTTTGTCCAAAGGCAATTTGGAAGAGCTTTGTTTTTACAATAAATAGTTATCATCAGTACTCTTCATTCAGAGGTTCTCAGAATTCTGCAGTTGACTGTGGCATAACCAATTCTGGTGTTGGTAGAGATTTCATGTTATGTGGAACAGCTGGGGTTTAGGCTTTAGTCGGGGCTATTAAGAGAAGTATGCTTTTCATGCAGTTATGTCACCAGCATTAGAGTTAATTAGCAGTAAAGTGGTGATTCTTCACATTGCACCTGAGCTAGCAAACACAAGCAGCGACCAAATGTGCTTGTAATGCAGGCTTCAGCAAGGGAAAAAGTTGGGTTTGCTCCCCCTTGCACTGGAAGATGTTTGTTTTAATCATTCAGGTGGTACAGTGAGGGTTGCAAAAGCCCTGACCGCCATGTGTGTGTTTGTGGAGGGACTTATGTGGGTTTAACCATGCAGCAGAGGGGGCGAGCCAGCCTGTTCTGCCCTGTGGCTGTTCGGCTGTGCTCAGGGTCAGCCTGTCACCAATGGCTGTGGGGTGAGTTGCACTGAAAACCACCACAAAATGAGCATGTGTCCAAGGCTCTGCTTTCTGCTCTGAAATGTCCCCATAGTCTCTCTGAGCAGAGGCTGTGGGGGCAATCTCTTTGGGGCAGGGCTGGGGATGCCTGCCCCATTGGAAGGTGCTGCTGAGCCAAGAAATGAGTTTGCTGCTACTGGGAGCACCATTTGAGCCTCCCACATTCCAGGTCCCCAAGGAAGAAGCGAAGCCTTAGGTGGTTTTGGGAACTTAAGGATTTACCTTCTGGTCCACTTCAGCTCCGTGCTGGTGTCCAGCTCCTGAGTGCCACTTTTCCTTTGTTTTTAGCACAGTCTAATGCTGGCTGGGTTGCTGACAGCAGCATCTGCTGAACAGCACATGGGATGGGCCTGGTGTTCCAAAGCAGCTGTGTTTCCATCAGTCAGGTTGTAATGTAATAATGACTGGTATCAAAGAGTGATGCTTTCTTAATTTGACCAAACAAGGGGAAGAGCTTTACTGGCTGTGTTTGAAGGTGCTTTTTTTTTTTTTTTTTTTTTTTTAAATATATATATGGAAGGAAGAATGCAATTATAGCACGTGCTGTATTTCCCAGGTTCCAAGGGAGAGGAGATCTTCAACAGCTAAACCAGAGGTAGAACATCCTGACCAAGATCATAGCAAAAGGTATCAGTTTTTAGTACTGTGTGTCTGCATATCCCCCTTTCCACCAAAGCTTCTGAAGGAACGTTACCTTGTCTGCACTAGGAATGGGAAGGGAGCGCACTGAGTTGTGGAGAGCTGAGACCCTAACTGCTTTCCATTGCCATCCGTCTGCTTTCTGTCTACTTGTCTCATGATCTGCTTGGCAAAAGCTGCTTTCCTGAAATTTGGGCACCATCTGGTAACACAGGTTTCCCTTCCCAAGGCTCACAGAGGTGACTGATGACCCTTTTGTTTTTGCATGTGGTTTCCTCAGCTCTGCACTGGGAATGTTGGTGTCAGGCAACAGCGGTGTTGCTCCCTTATGCATGGACTGGTAGGGAGGGATTTCGGAGTGCTTGGGATTTAGTTTGGTTTTGTGCTGTTTGTGGACTTCTCTTGTATCCTCTGAAACTGCTTTCTTTCTTCATCTTCCCGCTTTCTCTGTCTTGTGCCTCTCTACTTGAAGCAGATGATACTGGTTAGGTAAATACTGTGCACGTGAAGTTCATTCAAGCTTCCTATCCCACCATCCTTTCCTTTGGACCGATTAGAAGATAAGAACGTCTTCAGGACCTGTGGTGAGGCTTTGTGATCTGGCTGAGCTGATAGAATGACTTTTTGTTGAGAAGAGCAGTCTAGTTCCCAGCCATGTGTTCCCGCTGCTCCCCTAGCACGAGATGTAGTCTTCTACTGACCCATAACCTAGCAGGAGAAAAAAGTGATTAGCTTGCTGTCAGTTGAACAAGCCAAACTGGCTCACCAAGAGGATGGGGGAGTGTCTGATTGGTGCTTTGGAGAGGGCAGGACCACATTGTTGGGAGGGAGAAAGGAAGGGAGGGCTGACTCTTAGTGGCTGCTAGCTGTGAGGTCAGCTCACCACAGATGTAAATGGCATCCTGGCAGCAATAAGAGTGTGAAGCTACGTAAACCATTCTGGGGAGTTTTGATGTGGATTTTCTTGAGGGGCTGTATGTGAAAGAGGGCTGTAATTTCCCTTTGAACTCTTCTTCAGTGGCAGACAATCCTATGGCAAAGGAACTGCTACTTTACTCTCAATCCCCCTTCATCCACCAGAGAGCAGTTTCATGCAGCCTGGTGTGAGGCTGAATGTGCTGATATGAGGTGAGAGAAGCCTCAGTGCTTGGATTTGGGCTGCTGTTTTCCAGACAGTGAGAATCTGGGCAGTGAATCCTCCCTCACTCTTTGCTCCAGGGTAATTCATCTCCAGGGTGGAGTTGTTAGCAGTGGGTGAGGATTTCTTTTTCTTTTTTTATTTTTTCTCCATTTTTCAGGTTAGGGTGGAGACGTTCTTTGCAAACACTGGAGTTTGTATCAGCTGTCCTTGTCCAAAAGACTGGAAAGTATTTCTGGTTATTGTGGAATGAGAAAACGAGCTGTAAAATTAATGTGCTTTTTCCTCCTTGTTTTTTAAAGGAACAGCATCCCAAACGTGACAGAGCAGTCACTGATTTCCACTGGAGAAAACAGAGTCCAAGTTCTGAAAAACGTACCTTTCAATATTGTCCTTCCTCATACGCCCCAGATGGGCATGGACAAGAGAGGCCACCTCACAACCCCTGACACGACGGTCACTGTCTCGATCGCGACGATGCCCACCCATTCCATCAAAACGGAGACGCAGCCCCACGGCTTCGCAGTGGGCATCCCTCCGAGCGTCTACCACCCCGAGCCCCCCGAGCGGGTGGTGGTGTTCGACAGGAACCTCACTCCTGACCAGTTCAATTCCAACACCCAGCCACAGAACTCCCAGAGGCGAACGCCGGACTCTACCTTTTCAGAGACCTTCAAGGAAGGCGTGCAAGAGGTACCGAGAGGAACTCTGTGTGTGTTTTGATCTATGTGTAGAATCCAGTTCTGTCTTTATCGTTTTTGTTATGTAGGGCAGAAATGTGCCTAGTGATTTAGAAATAGAAAATCTTCTATATAGGTGCATAGGTATAACCTCGAATGTAAAACCCATACAACATGAAATCATTATCAAAAGCAAATGACTAATCGTATGGATGACAGAGCTGTTGGCTTGCAGAGTGTGGAAATAGTTATCTTGATCCACAGCACTGGGCTCGGTTTTACAAGAAAGAGTTCAGTGCTTGGCAGGGCCTATGCAGATACCAAGCTGAAGGGACTGTTTATAAGCTCCATCACTGCTAGTTTCTAGGTGTAGTGTGTGGAAAACAGTAGTAAGGGCCTTGACTGTGAGGTAAAGTTGGATGAAAATCCATGTGTTTTGTTTTGTCTTACCAACCAACAAGAGATTTGTCTTGATTTGTTTTGATTTTATTTATTTTAAAGACATGCACTGAGGACATATCTGTGCTCTTTCTTTGAGATTTGGGCAAGCTTTAAAACGTTGCCATAATCTGACTAAGAAGACATGTGAGATGTTGTGCTTAACTGGCACCCAGAAGTTTTTGATTGAAATCCTGCTCCAGCATCCTGTTTTCACAGACCAGAAATCAATTGTTACCTGGTGATCAGTTCTGTCTGTGATAACACCTATCTGTATAATCTTGAATTTTGTTGTTGCTGTCGTGTTAGTTGTTGTTTTGTTTTTTGTCTACCCCAGGTTTTCTTTCCTGCTGAATTGAATCTACGGATGGCCAACATGAACTCAGAAGATTATGTTTTTGACAGTATTTCTGGGTAACGCTTCAAGCCTCCCTCTCAGTCCTTTCCTTATTGCTTTCCTTATTGTTTTCTTAGCATTGGTTTGGCCAAGCTCACTCCCTTCTGCACCGAATCTCTGTCAGGCACTGGGGACTGTAGAATTCAGAAGCACACACAGTACTTGCTTGTTTCATAGTTCAAAATTGTGCCTACATCTTTAATTAAAAATACCTGTGGGATTGGAAACAGCACCCTGTTTCAGTTGCTGTCCTTGTAAGGACTTCCTATTCCATAAGGAGGTGCAGTGCTGTCTTGTCAGTTTGGCAATGATCTCAGCTGGCTTCCATGCACTTCCTTGCCTTCTTGCTTTCCTCTCTCCCTGCTGGAAACCTGCAGCAGAAGTAGGAAGCATGAAACTTTTGTGAACTTTGGTGAAGGAGAATAACATAGTTGTTAGGTTAGTTGCAGTTGATCAAGAGAGAAGAGGAGACTGTGGCCATTGAAGAGCTTGTTAGCTTGTGAATCAATTGCTAGTAGTTTCCTTTTCCATGAGAGCAGCTTACTGCTCTGAGATGGAATAAGGAGTTTCTAGACTTGCCTCCTGCTGTGACTTGCGATTTAGCTTGCAAAGAATTTCTCTTTAAATCTTCATTCATGAAGGACATAGTTTGAGAAGGGGCTCATCCTGTTTTCCAGCCTCCTTGCCTGTTGATGGCTTAGTGAGTCAACTAATGACTTTGGAATTTCTCCAAATTAAATGTAGAACGTTTAATCAGCTTTCCAGGAAAGTGCCTTACCAATCACTGCCATCTTTGCTTTGCAGGAATAACTTTGAATATACTCTGGAAGCCTCCAAGTCCCTCCGACAGAAGCCTGGGGACAGCACGATGACTTACCTAAATAAGGGTCAGTTTTATCCAATCACACTCAAAGAAGTCAGCAGCAGTGAAGGAATCCATCACCCCATCAGTAAAGTCCGTGTGAGTGGCAGTTCTTGTGGTTTCTTGGGAAAGAGGGGTGTGTATGTTGGTAGCCTTAAACTCTCCCAAAGCGCTGTAATCTAAACCAGAGTATCAGCACTAAGGGCAGCTTACCAGCTCTGTTACGTCAATGTTCATTCCTTTGCTGTCCACCTACTTCCAGGCCAACCTATCTTGGCTTAGTCTGCTAAGAAGCGTTGTCAGCACTTGTGTAAAAGTGATGCAACACCTGGAATGAGATTCATGAACTCCAGTTAGGAGGGCAGTTCTGCTCATCTGTTTATGACCCAGAAAACGCTGCTGTCTGCCTTCCTGTTGCGTGTCAGGTGTACTGCACTGCATTACTTTGGAAAGCCTAATGCGGAAAACTTGATGCCAAGGAGAACTTCCAAAACAAATGTACTCTGTGGCCTTTTCTCTCTTGTGTGTTTGTGTTTTATTTTCTTTAATCTTCTGCCCTCTCCTTTTAGAGTGTCATTATGGTAGTGTTTGCTGAAGACAAAACAAGAGAAGATCAGCTCCGGCACTGGAAATACTGGCACTCAAGACAACACACAGCCAAACAAAGATGCATTGACATAGGTAAAGGAACACTTCTTGCTGATGTCAAACTCCAAACTTAATTCGTTGGCATGGATTTTCTACTAAAGCTTTGTTACTTGCATTATGCCTTCAATTCTGTAACTTTTCTGAAGGACTGGAGGGTGCTTCTAATTGAGTTAAGGTAGTTTTTAGGATTCCTTACAGAGACTGGGTTTCTGGAAGGTTCTTTTTGGTTCATGAATGAGTTGAGTTTGAAGACCTGTGTTGGGCGATCTGATGACTCTCTCCAGATTACAGTTGCTTTTGGCATGAATCTTGGTAGCTGTAGCTAGATTGCATCTTACAGACTCTGTGGCTGTCCTAGATGTTGTATTTCTTCAAAGGGTAAAGATCCTTGTAGAGAAGTACCTCAACTCTAGTGAGATTTGCTCACAACTGGCCTTTGGTTCACAGACAAAAAAGGAAAATGCTGCAAATTTCCTCTTGCCTCTAGATAAGGCTGTGGTTGGCCACCTTCCAAACTTCTCTGGCAGAAAGCTGGGTTGTTCTGAGTCTTCCTTCTGTGAATAAAAGCAGGGATTAATCACTTGGCACTTAAAGCAGACGTACATGCAAATCTTTGTTTGTTATTGGATGAGTTTTATTGAGAGCTTTTACCATTGCTCTCCAGAGTTTCCCCTATGTAGCAGCTTATGACTCAGGACATGCAATATCAATTATGTCTGCCTTTCTCACTGGAGTTTCTAGTTAGGATTTTCTGTGAGTGCCCCGTTTTCCAACCTGCGTAGGGTTTTGGTTTTATGTTGGTTATTTTTGTTTGTTTGTTTGGTTGGTTTTGGTCTGAGAGTCATTTCCTGACTTCTAGTGATCCATTTTTAAATACGATTCACCTTCCTTTGCCCCCAAGGTGTTGCTGAGGAGGTGCAGCTTTTTGCTGCTGTGTATGTGTTAAGAACTCCGGGCGGTATCACCTCTTCTTCTCCCTCACCCTTCTTTTTTTTCTAATAGCTGACTACAAGGAGAGCTTCAACACCATCAGTAACATTGAAGAGATCGCATACAATGCCATCTCCTTCACCTGGGACATCAACGAGGAAGCAAAGGTATGTGACCATGGTTTTATTTCCTGTCCTTTCAGGAGATTCACGGCGTGGGGGGAGGAGAAGGGTGTGTGGCCTACCCAGTGATTAGCATGTAACAAGTTTGTTTACGCTCTTATATTAGGCAAAACCTCCTGGCTGTTTCTTAAGAGGGTTTCTATGTGCAACTGCAGAGAGCTTTGCAACTGCTCTAAGATTCTTGGCAGAATTGTCTGCTGAAAGACAAGTACCGACAAAAGGAAGCACTGAACTTTTCCAGAGCAGATGAAGTGGTACCAGGGGTGGGATTGAGTGTAACTGGACTCAGGGGCAGTCCATGCCCTTGCTAGGAAGCAGGGAGGACAATTTCTCAGGAGTTAAGGCTGTGATGATGGGCTCGTATTGAAGGAGTATAGCTGCTGTTGTTGAGCTAACAGCATGTGTTGCTGAGAGCACAGATTCCAATGCACCGTGACCTATTTAAAGTTAGAGCAGCCTCCCAGTGAACTTTGTTTTCATCTTTTTGCCAAACTTTGTGCACTACAGTAGATGTGTACAGGCAGCTTTCCTAGTTTGTAGAGAACTGTGGCTGTATGAAGCCGTTCCATTATTTGGAAGGGACTCGTGTCTTCTGGCTGGCATGATAGCAGGTAAGAGAGAATGCAGTATCCTCAGTTCCCAAGTCATTTTCTGCACTTTGTTGCTGGAGTTGAGTACAGAAGTCGTCTTTGGAGAATTTCTTTACTGCCTGGGCTGACAGTACAGGGTTTTCTTCAAAATGTGGGAAGTGTATCCTTTGTTTTTTGTGGACTGACTGTTCTCTTGCTGATATCTTGTGCTAGTTGCCATCATTGTGAGGAGAGCTGCTGGAGGCTGCGGTGCCGTGTGTAGGGAAAGCCCTACTACGGGGCACCTTGGAGCTCTTGGCAGCAAATGCAAAGGTCTTTCTAGAGCTGTGTGTGCTGCTGTGCTCTGCAAGAGGCACGAAATGTTGCCGCACTGAGCTTGTTGCTATTGCAAGCTTTACTCTGTGCTGCACGAGAGCATAACAAGAGCAGGGCATAGAACTGATGCTGGGTGGCCATCCTGAGGAAAGCTATCCTGTCCCACCAGCTGACAGCCTAGTAATTATCTTCTGATTTTACCCCTCAGGGCAGTCCTAGCAAACTGGCAATGAGCAGATCAATGTAGATGCTCAGCATTCGGTGTTTTCTCTGTGATCAGAGGAGCAAACTGTTCAACAGCTCCACTGTGTCATCCTTGGCATGTCCAGGCAGAGTCTCTGGTTTTAGTGGGCACAGCAGTATTCATCGAGGTGAACCAAAAGATGAACCAAACCTTTTAAACAGGTTTGTCAGCACGTAACTGATGAATTTGAGTGTATCTATTTTGAAGCTGGTGCAGGTGTTTACTGCCCAGCTGCTCTACAGGCACCTGAATGAGTAGCTTAGTTATTGCAGGCTCATAGTGAAATTGCCAATAACAGCTTGAAAATGTCTGAGGATACTCAAAGTTGCATTTCATGTCATGGCTAATATTTATGGGATTAATTGGCATGGGAAGTTGTGACTGAGGCTGGTTTTATGGCTCTGTAAGACAAATTTCCTTCCTTCCAGCACAATATCAGTGTGCTTTCTTTGCTGGTTTGTGTGAATATGGAGAAGGCACCATTGATACCTCCTGGAATCTGGATCTTAAGACAAATACTCTGGACCCAAGTCTTATTTTTAACAAGTGTTCTGTGTGTTTAAATGTCTATTCAGCTTTTTTTCCTTAGCGGATGCATTTTGTCAGTGGTTGGATTTCTCATCCATGAGCTGCAGCTCTTTCTCAACTCCTCTGATCTTATCAAGAGATGCCTGAGCCAATTTCAACAATCTTTATTGCATGGTTCATTTACCTTGCATACACGTGTGCTCTTTCTCGCACTCTCCCAATCTCCTTTCTTTTTTTTCTTTCTCAAACAACAGTCTTAAAGCATATGAGGAACAGAGAATAAAGTGAGCTGAATTTCTGATGCTGCAGAAAGTCTTTTGCAGTAATAAATACTGTCTTGTGTTTAATAACAGCAGTGTTGCGTAGAGAGTATGTTTAACCAGCCAGCAAGCCTTGATTATTAGAAACTTGTTTCCTGAGCCCTGGAGTTACCTGGGCTAGAGCCAGAAGATTCTTTTGGAGTTGCTGCTTCTCTCCTTTCCCTCTTGCTCTTGATTTCAGTTTGCTGTAGGAAGGATCTGGTCCTGTACAGCACAGTACAGTGGTGCAGGGCTGTGCATCTGAGGCTTCTGATGCAATTACTCATATAGGGACCCAGGACTCTGGGTGCATGTCAAAAAGTCCTAAGGCAGAAATGGTGTATCTTCTCAAGAAATTGTCCCTAGCAGCTCTGGGACCAGAGTCTTAAGAGAATTTGCCTTTTTTTCTTGTGCTAACCCTTGCTGTGTGGGGCTCTGCAGGAGCATCAGGTCTCTACCACCACTTTATCCATGCTCTCTGTCACCTTGCTTCATAGGAGAATGGTTTGCTGATCCCCTGAGGACACTGACGAGTTGGTAATGCACAACTTCCTGGTGAAAAAAACACTGTTTTCAAGTAATAATAACTATGTTCACTCTGTATGAAGGAAGATGTGCAGATGCATTGCTGGAGGCTGGAAGCACTCATCAGTGAGTGTTTCTCACCAGGAAAGAGTATTTCCCAGTTCAGAGAGCTAAGTGCGATTCCAGGGCACTGGACATGAGCTGCAGCAGGCAGGTCCTGCTTGAAGCAATTGAAGTTATGTAGCTGGCTGCATCTGTGTGCTCTTAGGTCATCCCATGTGTGCGGGGACAGGAGTATTTCACATACAACAGGCTTTTCCCACTCTGGGATCTCAGTCTCTGGATTTCAAAGATATTCTGTACTTCTTTTTAGTGGCTCCTCTCTGCCCTCTTCTGTTCCTTCAGGACAGCACAGAAGTCGCTGGAAATGGCCAGCCTGTGGAATAGCAGTGCAGTAAGTGCTCTGTGGCTTTTGCAAATGTGTTTGAACTGGAAAAGGGCCCGGGATCTGAAGTTTCCCTGCTCTGAGGCGGTGAAGGGAGCTGAGGGTGTGGAGAAGATAACCAGGTTTCAAAAGGGGATATAGCTGACAAAGTGGTGAACTGTTGAATTGGGTATTTAGGAAAGTCAGCACAGCTTCTCGGGAGCAGTCCCAGTTGGGTGGAAGCGTAGTCTGATGAGTCTGACAAAGATGTGTAGCTGATACACTCGCTGCTTGCACGCAACAGGTAATGCTGGAGTTACCCTGAGGCTTTCGGAGACTTCAAACAGCTTCCCACCCTATCCTGGGCCTCTGCCTCTCTGGCCAGACGGGGCAGAGTTATTTTTCTGCTAACAGCTTTTAGGTGTCTGAACACAAGCCTGTTGCCTTTTTCTTCTGTCCCTTTGTTAGGGATGGGGTGTCTAGAGCTGGAATGGAGCTTTCTGTGGAGGTGTCTGCCATTCCCCATTGATTGGACAGTCTTTGAAGTCAGCTTCTTAAGTTAGGGAAGAGGAATCCTGTCCTTGCTGCTCTTTTTGTTGCTCTTTTATTGTGTCTTTGACTCCATCTGGCAGCCAGGCAAAGTAGTTGTAGATCCAGACTGTAAGTTTTTGAGACTGAGAACCATCTCTTCTCAAGATTACACAGTGTGCCTGATTCTCCTTTTGGTTGGTACCCAGCAGCGGTCTTGCCCAGGGAGGTGGTGGTGTTTCTGTCCCTGGAGATTTTCCTCAAAAAGTTGTATGTAGCACTTAGAATCACAGAATCATAGAATGGCCTGGGTTGAAAAGACCACAGTGATCATCTAGTTTCAACCCCCCTGCTATGTGCAGGGTCACCAACCAGCAGACCAGGCTGCCCAGAGCCACATCCAGCCTGACCTTGAATGCCTCCAGGGATGGGGCATCCACAACCTCGTTGGGCAACCTGTTCCAGTGAACACTTAGGGATGTTGTTTGTGGGCTTGGTGCTGGGTTGATCGTTGGACTAGTTGATCTTAGTGGTCTTCTCCAATCTTAATGATTCTAGAGAATTGTCAATGTGTGCGTGGGTAAATGTACATTTCCTGCAAGTCTTTCCTGCTGCTCTGTCCTTCACATTGGCTGTTCTGTCCTGTTAGCCGTTAGGCTGTGAAACATTTTCTCTCCCTTAACCTTGGCCTGGAGACATGGCCTGCTCTCAAGGCAGTGACAGTTGAACAATCTGGACAGATCGGTTTCCCCAGGGTTAACTGGCTTTGCTGGATCCAGCTTGGCTCGGGTGCTGTCTGAGCTCCTGCCCCGTGTCTGCCCCAGGCAAGGCAGCGTGCTGTGCTCTGGGCTGGGGGCTCTGCAGAGGGGCTCAGCCGCACAGTTCAGCGCTGAGCTGGCTCGCTCCAGGCTCTGCTCCTAACCTGTTTGGCTGAAAGCCCAAGAGCTGTAACTCGGCAGAAGAGCACTGGGCAGAGCACAGTAAAGCAAGCAGGTGTCTTCGTGGCAGTCGTGTTTTTGACAGGTTATGTGGTTATGTGAACCGCAGGTCCCTGCTGGTGTTGGAGGCAGCCTTCCATGCTTGCCGTGGCTCCTTCTGAAAGTCAGTGGCTCCTGAGCAGGGCCCTGTGGAGGGCTTCTGTCTGCTGGTTTTAGGCTGGATGGTAGGACTGCAGCCAAAAGTGATGTCACTGCACATTAAGGGCCCTATTGTCCTCCCACTCCTTCCCTCCAAAAACAAAAAAAGGCATTGTAAGCAGTCTCTGTGTGTGAAAGACCCTTTCTACTAAAATGAGGTACTTAGTCAGGGTGTAACAGCAGCTTTAGGGCTGGAGAACTCTGGTAAAGCTTTTGGCTCTTTCCACTAAAGGGTAGATGCTGTGCTTTCTCTAAAGTGACGCTCTGAATTACAATTAAAAATTACAAATCTGATTAAACTGCTTTTTTCTTTTTTGTCCAAGAAATGTGGGAAAGTCTATAAGGTAACTGGAAGCTAATTGGAGTCAGCCTTTAAAAATAGTAGTTTGCTCTCTG